CGCAATATGGTTCATGGGGTCACGAAGAGTCGGACACGACTTAATGACTAAACAACAACCATATACCATATTTGATGGCAACACATTTAATCTGGCTTTTGAAAAGATTATTCGGTATTTACTTAAATATAAACTATTAAGATATTTAGGGAGCTGAAAAGTATATCTGTAATTAATTCCAAAAGTTTCAGGTGAACACTGAAGTTGCTTTAGCCATTAATTCCTGTAATTAATTATCCCATAATCTTTGTTTAATACAATAAAATGCTGATGTCATACCTCTGGAAAATAAGTAGTAGGATCAATGCCAACCTGACTAATCTTTTAGCTAACCTGTTCAAACCATGTATCTACAAAAGACTCATTCGGGATTTCATGAAGTAATCTTTCCTTGTTTTTAAAAATGTATATCTGCAACCAAAGCTTAATATTAAAAGCTTCTATCAAGGTGAGCCTGCACACCACACATTCACCCTGGTGCCATCATAGAAAATGGGAATAGAGTGGTAAGAAACAGTCTACTGAATCAGAGGAAACATAAATGTTGAAATGCTGGATAAACAAACAAAAAACCCTGTGATGACAGAGCAACAAGGCAGGTTCTTAAGTTCTCAGCCAGCCATAACTCTCAATCAGAATAAGAGTCTCACTCTGTATTAGTATCTGGAGATAGGTTGTAGGAAGAAACACTGGGAGTAGCTTTGCTGCATCTGCCACTGTAAGGTCAGAGTGCACCAAATGTAACTGAGTTGATGTTGCACTTGGATGGCCCTTACCCCCTCCTCTTCTTAGTCTCTTCTCATTCCGTGGAGTTGCACAAGTTCAGAGTTACACAAGAGCTGCAAAGTTCAAACTGCCTGATATTTCCTGTTTTTCTTTAAGTTTTATATAAAAATACTCTAAAACTCCCACAGAGATTGGATGGTACACTGGATAATAATCAATGACAACCCATGGTTTCATATTGTAATTAAGGCACCATTCTTTAATCAGTATTTAAACTCTGGTTTGCATTCAGGAGTCATGCCAGGCATAACCATAAAATGGCTTAGTTTGCCATGTAAACGTAATGTATCTTCCAGTTCATGCATGTAAATCTATAACACTGATTGAATGTTATGTCCTAGTCCATCTCTTTTTCTCTAATAAATGATTAAATTAAGAAATACAGGTTTATAAATTGAAATACTGGGAGCTGCATAATATTTTCAGTATAAATTATTTCTTAATGCACACTGAGGGCCCACCAAAAGGATCTCATTGGTCTACCTTTATGTTGAGTATTTACCTTCTGCCAGTCCGGAGGTATTGGTAACGTTGAGTTTATCTGATCGAATCAGATTTCTGACAGCACAGGGAAGAAGACCTTTCAAACCTCCCAGGAAAACCATCTCTTCATCCTGGAACAAGAGAAAACTATAATAATAGAAATTTAAACATACAATTATTTTCAGACTAATTATTTTATAATTTTTGTTGATGAACTAACTTTGGCTTTCAAACAATGAAGTGGCTCATTCTTCCACTTCATGGATATTCTGTCTGATTATTTTCTAAAGGAAGTATGGCTTTACTGTCTAATGAATTAGTTTCTGAAATGTAATATATTGGGTTGTAACACTTCAACATATATGCATAGATTTATACTTATTTTAAAATATTACAGATATTAAAAATAGGATTGTGCAGCACTCCTGATTAAGTCCTCAAAAGGAGCTTTGAAATGTGAAGCTTCAGGCCACACAATTATGTGAACATTTTGGAGATCAAATATGAAGCATGATACAGCCCTATTAAAATATAGTGGCATGGAATAAAACCAGTTATTGCCTTCAATTTTACAGTTAAATTATATCCTTATTCTCTCTCTTACATACTTGGCCCTTAACAATTTAAGATTAATTTCAATAACTTTTTCAACATTCTATAATCACTGGCTTCAGTATCTACTATTGGTAAAACATCAAAACAAAAGCTCTAACAATCTTACCTGTAAGTTTACCTTTAATTCCATTGAAGCCATTAGTTCTAAGGAAAATAATTCCTGAAGAAGTAACACTAGTTTAAAGCATGGAACATTCACTGGTGTTCTTTTAAAATTAATGAGTTAATATTTAACCCATATTTGGTTACATATTTCAAATAGATGTTAAAAAGATTAACAATTCCTGGTATATTGCCAAAGCAAGACTCCAAGTGAGTATTGTTTGTTTTCTGTCTTTGTTACAAATATCTAGAATTTACATATTTTGGCAGATATTTTACATATTTAGGTGAAAAATAAATGATATCACTAATAGTTCCAGCCAGAATGGGAACTGTAGTTCAACAAGGCCTAGAAAAGCATAGATTCCCACTCCTATTTTAAAGAAGCAGCTGTAGTCATTTTAATCAATTACAGTACCATGAGAAAAAGGGAGGTGAGCAAATGGACTATGATAACCCTACCTTCCATGGCTCTCTCTACTGATGCCCATATCCTCCATAGTGAATTAAATTTACTCCTTCTCTAATACCATCTGAGCTAATTAGGGTAACAGAATTGTAGCCCAAACTGGCCATAGAACAATCCCAACATTTCAGAACTACAACAAATATGTTGGGGGTGGGTGGGAGTTAAGGGACAGTCTCCCTAACAAAACAGCCTAGTGAGTGACCAAAGAATGTTGCGCATTGTCTGGAAAAGGGAAACAAAGATACGTCTAAAGTCTAGAACAGGAGAATTTCACACAGGAAGATTTTGTTGCTAGTCCCATCTTCTGTTGTACTCTAATCAAATATTTTACACAGAAAAACTAAATTTAGTTTCTTTTTAATTGCTTATGGCCAGGCCATGGATACATATTTTTACTCAATAATAAATATTTTGTAAGCTGTTGAGCTTATTGCTGATCTATTTTTACTATTTTACTATTTTTACTATTTTTATCTATTTTATATTCTGAAGTGTGGGTATCATGACTGCATGAATATAATTTAGCTGTTTAAATTTAGTCAAGGTCTATGGAGTTTTAAAACTATCTAAGCATGAATGTTTGCTGTTTTTTGCTTATTCCACATAAGACACATCTATCAAAATTTTGATTCCAGTCATGACTGATGTTTAGTATATTTAAAACTGTTGTCCATAATACTGAGTTTTTTTCCTTGCATAATTAATTCATAATCCTTTTTTCATACATGTAGCTTAAATGCACTGTCTCTCACTGAACCTAATGAATTTTCTATTCTTACCCAAAGGGAGAAATATATAATTTGTTGAATTTGTGAAATAAATTATATACTTCCACAGACAGATAGAACGCCTTCCTCTTAACATGGATATGGTTATTTGTGGATATGGTTGCCACAGTAGATAAGTATATTTAATTGGCCTGTAAACTATTCCATTTCAGTGACTTTGGACCTGTCGTTTTCTGCTTTTCAGCAGAAGTGATATTATTGTTGGTGATTCTAGGATTACTCAATTTGATGTATGTCCTGTAGAATGGCCTCTCCTACACAAGATGCTCATGAGAAGCACCCAGAAATCTTCTGTCCCACACAAAGTTCTGCAAAAAGTGACTTCATTTCAATATTGGGGAGGGTAAAAGATGAAGCTTCAAGTAAATATAACTTACAGACCAAAATTTTGATTTACATTTTATAAAAGCTATTTTTTCTAGTGTAGTTTTCTTTATTATTGTTCGCTTACTGGAAGAATCTGTAAGATAATTTCAAAATATAAACTCAATAAATTATTCATTAACATGTGATGCCTTTCAGAGATATGGTATCAAACACCTACATTTGCAAGTTTTAAGCAGAGTAACAGTTTGCACAAATTCAATACATGAGTTTCCTAAAAATATATCACTATATCTATTTAACCAATACATAAGCCGAATCCAATTTCAGGAGAATCTTGATGCCTGAATGCCTGCAAAGTATACCATAAGGTTCAAAGTATATTTTGAACCTAACCTCACCATTGGTATAAATTCTAAAGAACAAGAACTTTATAATATATAATACATATGAGATTATTTTTGGTAGAAGTGTAGGAAATAAATTTAATTCCAGTTCATTTCAATGAAACTGTTAAGATCATGTTTAATCATTCCCATTGAACTCATTTTAACATTAAAATGCTTTAGTTTGGCTGGACAGTATTATTAAAATTAAAATAGATGATGTTTCCAATACTGACAATTGAACTACAGTTTTTTCATGAAATCAATAGCCCAGTATTGTCATCTTGAAATTTGGGGCATTTCCAGATGATCAGCCCTTCCGCAATCCAAGTCTTCTGATTTCATAATTAAATAGCTTGGCTCAGACAATCATATTTTCAGACAATCAGAATGCTACAGAAATGGGCATGCTGAGATGTTAGTGAGTTTGTGATACTGGCAGAGAACTGATAGACAATCTTGCTTTTCCTAGGCAACAGATGAGCACAGAGATACCTTGGCCTGATCAATCTGCTGAACAGCAAAGAGTGCCTTGTTTTCCCCTTTGGAGAATTGATCATAATACTGCTTTTAACAATAATCAGGTTTTTTCCTATTAAGATAATCATTTTTCTGATTCTGATTATGCAGATATAAGTGGTTTCAGTAAGATTCCTCAAGCATCTCAGTACTCCTTAACTTGTTCATTAATGAAACAGAATTAGAGGTGAACAGTAAGATGGCCAAGTTTACTGATGACATGGTGTTATTCAGGGTGATAAGAGCAAAAAGAATGTAAATGTGTGAATGGGTATTACAACAAACAAATGTGGCTTTATGTGGAAAAGCAATGTATGATTGGGCAAAAATGTTCACATGTATACCAATATGATGACTGGCTAGGAAAGAAATTTGGGGGTAATAGTGAAAGCAACAAGAAGCATCAATGCAAACAAGTGGCAAGTAATGAATCACAGAATCATAGGGTTGGAATGGGAACATGATAGAGATGTAGAAAATAATGCATGGAGTGGAGAACGTCAACAGTGAGGTGATTTTCCCCTGTTTAATAACAGCGAGGTCTGGGAATTATTCAATGAAACTAAATAGTGTCAGAGTTAAGAAAGACAAAAGAAAGCATTTCTTTTCACACAGTATATTTGCATTTGCAAATAAAAACCACTAGTAATATATGCACCTTTAACTAAATATAATAAAGCCATAGGATCAAACTTATAACAAAAATAAAAACACAATACAAAATAAGGAGCCTCTAGATTAAAAAGCCAATGATATAAAATAAAACCAATGTCTGTTCATGATATGATTATACTGTGCATTATCAGAGATCTGGCTTGCTAGTCAACAGGATATCAAAAGCAAGAAGAAACACTTAATGTTTTCTGAAAAATCAGTTATCAGATTTCATCTATGGCTTCAAGATGAGATAAGGCCCAGTGCAGAGTAGTACTGGATTTATGATTCAGATATATTTTACATATCTCTCATAAGATATGCAGCAGATGTTCTCATATATTGAATTTAATTGCACTTGCTCAGTTTGCTTATGAACTGATTCATACAAAGCTTACCTTCACTTTGGCTTTTCAGGAATCAGTTCCCAACTTCATATTCTGTATGAATATTCCTTATTTTTCTTTATTTTCTTTGAGAATTTTATTTCCAGAATTGTTAACGATCAACTCGTAAAAATCTAGGAAGAATATTGTCCCACATTACATAAAAGTGGCAGTTATATATTAGTTAATACTGCAAACAGATAGTGACTCTGTCTTGCTTTTTACTACTGTAGTTCCATTGCTCAAACCGAATCCAACTTTGGGAAATAAATCACAGGTCTAATTGTCCATTATCAGAAATGGGCTCTTGGTTTCAGTTAAACTCATAAATCTGACACCTCTCCTGCCCCCACAGCCAGGGCTGCTCTCTCCACCAGGGCTGCTCAGGCCCTGGGCAGCTAAAGCAGGGCCCCCCTGCTCCTCACGGGCAGAGCCATCATGTACTTAGGATGGAATGACAGCTCCTAGATCTGTTCGACAGTGAGACACTTGGGCTCAAAGAACACAAGAATTAACCTCTGAATTAATACGGCCAAAAAATTTATCAGCAATGTCATTTCTATCTGGCTCATTTCCTTTCCTTTCAGAATTCATTCAACATTTAATTTATGGCTCATGAGTAGCCTGCACTGACTTTAATGGAGCCCGTCACTTGAATGACCACTCTCAGCTCCAACTATTTTCTATACAGCAAACATTCCTGTCCTTCCTTTTAATATGGCCCATTTTTTGCAGCCAGGAAATGAAGGGTGTTTTTTTTTGGAGAGTATAAGGGTCACAATGGAAGGCAACATTTCCGAGAGACCGTGCAGTCCTCAGAATGTCAAGAGCTTTAAGTCACTCACCGGTCTAATCTTCGTGCCCAAGCAACCGATTATCCGCCTTCCTTATACTCAGGAGGCGGGAGCAAAATATTTACTCGCAAGCAGGAAAGATCTAAATTGGATGCTGAAGACGGCCGGGCGCCGCGGGAGGGCGGGAACAGCGATAAGCGCCCGAGAAACTGGAGAGAGAGAGGGAGATAGGCAGAGCTCACGATTGGCGCAACCGCTAAACCAATAAGGACACGCGCTTCTCGGCGGGCGCTGGGGGTGAGAGGGGTGTAACTTGCTCCTGTCTCTGACCAATCCCCGGCCTGGAGTGTAGTCTCGCAGGCCAATGAGCGCTCAGTTCGACTCCCTTTCTTTCATTGCTTTAGTAGTGGGGGGGCAGATAGAATTTCTTGACTGTTCCAGGTTCTTTTACCCCCCCCTCGCTTTTTTTTTTTTTTTGGAGCATTAGTCCCTCCCTCCTCTAGGAATGTGGGGGGTGATCTGAAGGGCCCGGTTGCCATGCTGAGCAGCAGTTAAGTTCGGGCTTGTCAGATGTAGGCGCCCCCTTATTTATGTATTTGTTTTAGTCGCATAAAGGCGCCTCCACCACCACCAGCACCCGCAAGCCATGGAATACGTTTCTAAGAAATAACGCCCCTCCTTGGAGTGGGGCGGCGCTGACCCAGGGTCCCTTTGCCTCATTTTCCCCCCGGGCTGCCCCTCCAGGGAGGGGGCTTTTGAGGAGATGGAGGGAGCCGCTGGGTGCGCTGAGGAAGAAGGGGAACTCTTGCTGCTCACCGTCAGGCACGAGCTCAAGAACGGTGAGTCTGCCCGTCTACCTGAAGGTGTGGGGAAGCTGCTGAAGGGGGCCAGAGGCGAAGGCGATGGGGCGGGAAGCGCAGGAAGGGTCCCCTGAGGAAAGGGGCGGCCAGAAGGGGACGGGGCGGTCGGCGTAGGGAAGTGTGCGGGTGTCGCGGGGGACGCACGGAGCGCGGCGGCGCGAGAGAAACAAAGGCTAGAAGAGAGCGGCGTCTCGGGAGCGAAGGGAGTGGGGCGTCGTGGGGCAGCTGGCCAGAAGGGCGGTGTTCGGGTTGGCAGCCTGGGGAAGGGGCGGCGACTGGGCCCAGAAGACTCGGAGGAGAACGAACGGAGCAAGAAGGTTAGGGAAAGGCCCGGCCAGTAGTGCAATACACGAAACATAACCGTTTCAATATTACAGTTACATGAACACCGTAATATTTGGATGACATCCAGAACAGATCTTATGAAACCAGCCCACCAAATGGACATAACTCAAGGAGAGTGATGAAATACGAGAAAAACTTCCATGGGTTCCCCATTATATTACTGTATTCATTCAGAACAAAAGTTATTTAGAAAACTGCTAAGAACATCTGTTTTCCAGCCAAGCAAACCACCAGATTCACCACTTGCACATGACTGGAGGGGGCTGATGCGCTATGAACATAAAACTTCTGCAATAACTCTTAATGGTTCTGCATTCTGGCAAAAGTTCACATTTCAATAAATTCCTGGCCAGTATCAGTTCTGTAATGTCTGGGCACTGATGTAGTAAGATACAAAAGTTCTACATGAACTGTTTTCCATGACTAATTCTGGCAGAAGTCCGTCTTTTGGAGAATTGCTCGGAATGCCAAATTTCCAAACAACAAAAGTTCATCAGTTACATACAGCTAGAGGGTATCATTGGCAATAAAATAACATGGAGATGTTCATGAGGTCACCAGGAACTAAGCTTAACTTGAGGGAATCTTTACCTGTACCGAAGCATTAAGATACAACATTTTCACAAGAATCATATTAGCTGCCAATGGCATAATAGAATCTTTTTAAAAACTCCCTAGAATATTGATTTCCCAGTCCACCATTCATGACCTTTTCTCACTTGTAATTTACATTAATAGTAGAATTGCCTATCAAGCTCAATAATCTTCCTTTTTTATACTGAAACATAACAGTTTTTTCTTGCTTGCCAACAAAAGGGTTTGGAATGTAAATTTTATTGTGCTTCTCTCCCCTTTTGGGGAGATATGTTCATGTGACCAATCCAGCCTTGTCAGTTATTTGTACATTCCTGATGGAAAATGGGAAAGATATCCCACTGGCTATTCAACAGCCAATCAGCATCTTCAAAATATTCTCTCCCTTCCCTCAGCCACAAATGAGGACAATGTATTTTGTTAATCCAGTAGAATGGCAACTGGTCAGGAGAACTTATCACTATCATATTACATCTATACAGAAATATTGAAATATGTTAAGGATTAGTTGTGAGAGAAGCTCCAAGGGAACCTGCAGCAATAAGACCCAGCATTTCAACAACAATTGTATTAAACTATCTGTCTTAAAATCCAAAGCTACTATCCTGAAATAATTTTATGTTCTTTAAAATGAAATCTTATCATATTTTTAAAAAATATTAGCATATTTTAATATATTACTAAGAAACCTGAATAGTACTAATTAACATAGATAAAATTGACATGTACAAGATCTAAACATGCCTATAAATAATACTTAGAACAGTACTTTTGAAACATTCTGTATATAAAGAATTATATATTGTTTTATGCAGATTGGTATAAGAAGTGCTTTTGAAGTGAGAACACTTCTTAATTCTTACCACTGAAAATAGTTTTCTAACAGGATTACCTAGATCAAAGATTTCATAGAAAAAAAAATTCTCTGCATCATAGGGTCTTTATTTGTCATAATACTCCGGGCATTTGAATATACCATGGAGAATCTGATTTATCATTTGGCAGGATTCATAAAATGCCTGGATTGATTCTAGGAGAATCAGTAAGGACCAGTTTTGGAAATCTAGCAGTGATACTCTGAGATTTTTGTGTGCTGCAGATTCCATAAGAAAAAATTAACTATAACTACAGAAGAAGAATGGAAAAAGGCAAAGACAGGCACATATACTCAGGAATTTTAGCCAGTCTAGCCATTGCCAAGCAATGGAGTATAGGAGAAAAGAAGAGCCTAAAAATCAGTATGGCTCAGTTATAGTAGGTGCTAGTTTTGGCAGATTATCATTGTGATGAGGAGGAAAATATGGCTTTGGTGGGTGAGGAAAAAACTGTGAGAAGGTAAACTCAATATATTGGAAAGTTGAAAAAATATTTTAGAACCAGCTAATTCCTTCTAGGTTGTTAGGATGACATTTATGGCCTATGGGAGGCAATGCAACTACATCTAACTATAATTTTTGTAATTATTTTTATAAAGCTAATAACCAGGAAACAGTATATCTCTAGATTTTCCTGATTCCTTTATTTCTTAAAGTAAAATGCTGTATTTATTATTTATCATCTTGTCATTCTGCATATTATTTTTACATTATGGTTCTGGTAAAAAGAATGATGAATAGTTTGCAGTGCAGCTAAATATTTTCTTCCCCTCCAAATTCCCACCTGTGTTAATATGATATTGGCTTTTTGTATGCATGTGTACTTTTAATTCTTGTTCTTTAAAAATAAAAGAAAGAACCCTTCTTATAACAGTCCAGCTGTCTACCTTTGCAAGCTCACAAACCTGGACTAGAGGGTGATGGTCCCTTCTGCTGTTGCTTCCCAGCAATGAATATTTAAGGCATGCTTCCCATGCTTTAGAAGGTAGTAAGCCGATATTCATAGACATTGATAGCTTGATCATCTATGAACCTGTCCAATCCCCTTTAAAAACTATCCAAATATGCTATTACCACAATTGTTGGCATTAAATTCTAAAGTGTAAGTATGTGCTGTGTAAAAATAGTGTTATTCTACTGGTTCTGAATCTGTCTGCATTCAGTTTCAGTGGATGATCCTGTGTCACAACACTGTGAGAGAGGGATATATTCTTCCCTCCATGCCCATTATTTATGCCATGCATGATTTTATGTATCTCTATCAGGTCTCCCCTTACTATCTTTGTTCTTTGCTAAAGAGCTGTAGTTGCTATAGTCTTTCCTTGTAGGGCAGCTGTTCCAGTTCCCTAATAATTCTGAATGCCTTCTTTGCTTCTTTTCTAGCTCCATAAAAACTTTTTAAAGTGCAGTGACCACTAAAGAATAATTACTTCAGGTATGAATCAGCTGAAGTAATAAGATAATTAGATTCAGATAGAAATCCTGGTGTAGATGATTTAATAGCTAAATATTTTAAATAATTCTAAGAAAACAGGAGGTAAATTGTTGATAGATTAATTGATTATATGCCATCAAGTCAGTGTCGACTCTTAACCACATAGATAGACCTTTTCCAAGATAATCTGGCTCTTCAGTTCTCCCAGCGATGTACCCATTGCCTCTGTAACCAAATCCATCCACCTTGTTGCTGATTGTCCTCTTCTTTTCCCTTTCACCTCTCCACCACTATGAACTTTTCAAAGGAGATGAATCTTTATACAATATGTCATGTCTGTCTGTCTGCCTGTCTGTTCAATCGTGTCCCATTCTCAGAGACTGCCTGGACAAGTCCCTGCAGTTTTCTTGGCAAGGTATTTCAGAATGGTTTGCCATGGCCTCCTTCCTAGGGCTGAGAGAAAGTGACTGGCCCAAAGTGACCCAGCTGCCTTTGTGCCTAGGCATGATTAGAACTCACGGTCACCCAGTTTCTAGCTTGATGCCTTAACCAGTACACCAAACTGGCTCTCATAAAATATATATTTTTTAAAAATGCATCTTCATTAGAATAATAGATTGGAAGGTTTGGAAGGAATCTGGGAGATTTTCTAATCCAATACACTGCCTAGTGCAAGAATTCACTACTATAGCATCCCTAACAGTTAGTTCTCCAAACTTTGCTTAAACACCCCAGCAAAGAAGAGTCTACCACTACCACCCTTACAGTTTACAAGCTTTATAAGCCACTACAATTGAAACTGACTCTGAGCAGCATATAGTTCCCCGTCTTTGTATATTTGAATTAAAAACAAAGTGAAACCTAGCAATATAAATAATAAGATTAGGCAGTTCAATAAGAAAAAAGATAAAAGGTGTAAAAACTGGAAATAACACACTTAATGGGCTAGAAATTAAAATACCATTCCTCACCAGAGGAAGTTATCATAGCATTTTGCCCCCCATGGCCCAATGGAATATTTTAATGGATTTTCTGAAGGCCAGGAGGGAAGGGGCCATTCTGATGTCTG